CCCAGCTGTCCCTTGCAGGTTTCCAGCTTGTGTTCATCTGGGTCTCTAGGTGAGGAATTTGAGGCCGGCAGTATCAGTTCCATCTTCATCAACCGGGCCGTGGTGAAATACAGTCGCCTGGAGGACGTGCTGCACGGCTGCTCTTGGAAGATCAACAACAAGCTGGATGGGACGTACCTGCCCCTGCCCGTGGACAAGATCGTCCGGCGCACGAAGAAGATGATCAACAAGACGGTGCAGTACAGCCTGATTGATGGGAACTGTGAGCACTTCGTCAACAACCTCAGATACGGTGTGCCCAGGAGCCAGCAGGTAGGGTGCCTTTGGCTCCGCCGGTGGCTCCTTGCCCGGCTCTCCTGGGGCCTTGTCGTCCCAGTCACTGGTCGGAACGGTGCGCGTGGTTTCGTATTCTTTGTTGCACTACTGGGTTTCTGCTTCTTTTTTTTTTTTTTTTTTTAATTTTTTTTCAACGTTTATTTATTTTTGGGACAGAGAGAGACAGAGCATGAACGGGGGAGGGGCAGAGAGAGAGGGAGACACAGAATGGGAAACAGGCTCCAGGCTCTGAGCCATCAGCCCAGAGCCTGACGCGGGGCTCGAACTCACGGACCGCGAGATCGTGACCTGGCTGAAGTCGGACGCTTAACCGACTGCGCCACCCAGGCGCCCCAAACCATTTTTATTTCTGAGACCGTTTGTTCTTTTACAGGATGGGGATGAACCGAGGTCCATACTTTATTGTTAAAGCTGCAAACTAGCGGTGACATGTGGCCCGCAGGCGTGTTTTGCCTGGATGAGTAGTTTCTTTTTTTTAATTTGAATGACTTGCCAGCATTTTTTTTTTTTAATGTTTATTTATTTTTGAGAGAGAGAGAGTGAGAGAGAGAGAGTGTGTGTGTGTGTGTGTGTGTGTGAGCAGGGGAGGGGCAGAGAGAGAGAAGCAGGCTCCAGGCTCCGTGCTGTCAGCACAGAAGCTGATGCGGGGCTCGAACTCACAAACTGTGAGATCATGACCTGAGTCGAAGTCGGACGCGTAACTGACTGAGCCCCTCAGGTGCCCCAAACAGCATTTAACCACGTAGAGATTTTATATAAAAGGATCTGGATTCACAGCCTCCCTAGAACAACTAATTGATCAGGCCGTCAGGCGCGTATCCCTGCTTGCCGACACGCTGTGGGGCCAAGCGTGTCTGCCTCTTTAGACGGGGTGTGTGTGGCGGGGGTCAGGTATGCCACCTTCCAGTTTCACCCGCTTAACCTGCCTGGCCAGCCGGGGCTGTGTCTGGGTTTATGACTTCCCACCACACAGAGCGGAAGTAAATCCAACCAGGCACAGCCCACGTGTTCAAGAGCTTTAAAAACCTAAATATCTGTGACAACTTGAGCGGCCCTTGTTTAGATCCGGTCCTTACTAAAACCCCCTGCGATGAGCGGAGGACGTATTTGTCATCCCCTTTTTCATAGATTAAGAAGTCAGGACTTAAAAACTAAATAAGTAAAAATAAAGATTAATTGTGAGAAGAAAAAAAAATACCAAGAATTAAAGGTAGGACGTAATGTTTCTGCTTTTTTTCCTACGTCTTTTTATGTTCTCTCTGGCTGCGGGGCTCAAATCCCAGTCTGTCTACTATTGCTGAGTGTGAGCGGGTCACCCAGCCCCCGCCCCTGCCCCCTCTACTTTGTGCACCTTCCCCTTTTCCACTCGTGGCCCGTACACCGTTCTTGGGAGGCCTCACTCCAGGGCCGAGGGCTTGGGGATCCCGGTGTGAAGGATCGCCTGTCCCCTGAGCGTTTGTACATGAAAAGAAGACCCCCAAGGATCAGATGGATTATAGGCGGCCTTCTCTGGAGTGTGGGCCAAGCTTAGACACTAATTCACTTCGTGACTTTGTCCCAGTGAGTTTTGTCCAAGTGAGTCCCCCTCCGTGGCTCTCAGATTCCCTGTATGTGGAATGAGGGCCCCTGTGGCTGTGCCGCTCTGAGATCCTTTGCCTCTGAGCCCTACACTGGAGGCAGACCCTGAGCCGAATGGACTCCGAGGGAAGAAGGGGGCCAGGAGCCGTGGATGCCCGTGGGGGAAAAGGAGAGCATCTGCCTCGGCTGTCCATCCCGGGCCATCCTGACCTCTCTCGAATCTTTGGAAATATAGGCCAGCCAGGTCGCTTCCTCCCCTAGAAAAAGACTCCAGGCAGGCCGGTTCCTGAAGGGGAGGGGTGAGGCGTAGGGGTAGGACGGGGCACAAGCCTCTGAGTGTGAACCCCTCTGCTCTGCAGGTGGAACACGCCCTGATGGAAGGAGCGAAAGCTGCCGGTGTGGTTATTTCGGCTGTGGTGGACAGCATAAGGCCCAAGCCTGGCCCCGTCTGAAGATGCTGGAAATTCCAGGCAGAGGAAGAACGGCTGCCACCAGCAAGGACAGTCACAGCCCCTTTCCTCCCCTTGCCTTCTCTCGCCAGAGCTCCTCCCGAGAAAATCGGGAGCTTCTGGAGGAATCTCGAGTGTATCCAATTACCCCTCCAGAAATACATCCAATATATGTGATCATAGATCCATGGACTCTCGGGGTGAGAAGAACCGAATATTTATTATGCCTCCCCTAGGCGCCAGGCACCGTGCTAGGCATCATTTCATATACTCGTTTCATTTTATTCTCTGTGGGAAGGGTCTTGCTTGTTTCCGAGGCCGACTCTGGTCTGTGATGCCTGAATACCATCTGACACATCCCGGAAACCTCGGCTCGAACATTCCCAGAAACGAAGAGCTCTTCAGAAGTTCTTTTTCTTGAGCTAAACGCCTCCGGATTTTGCATTCATGCGAATGCTGCTCTTTCTGACCCACAGAGCTGTGCAGGGGGAGGAGGATTTTAAGGGAGCTCGTGACTTGCGATTCAGGGTCCTCGGTGCCTTAATCCGAGAAAATCTTTCTTGGATTAAAAAAAAATCATACATCAGCCTTGTTCTTCATTGTTTAACCACCCCCCCACACTTAATTTTCTTCTTTTTAAAGTTTTTATTTTTATTTTTGAGAGAGATTGCGCGTGAAAGCGGGGTAGGAGCAGAGAGAGGGGGAGAGAGGCAGAGAACCTGATGCGGGGCTTGAACTTAGAAACCGCGAGATCATGACCTGGGCTGAAGGCAGACGCTTAACCGACAGAAACACCCAGGCACACCCTACCCCCCACACTTTCAAGTATAATCAACATCACCATTTACTTTGCTTTTTTTTCTACCTTACAATTACCAGGAAATATGAAATTGTTATTTTCACCGATTTCAGATGAATATTTCAAATGATTTACACAGTGGACTTCTGTGTGAACGAGGGAGGGGAAGGAGTGATTTTTTGTGTGTTGACCGTTGTTGGTGTGATAGATCTAAAATGACCAGGGGGACTGCTGGGTGGCTCAGTCGGTTGGGCGTCTGACTTCGGCTCAGGTCATGATCTCGTGGTTTGTGAGTTCGAACCCCATGTCGGGCCCTGTGCTGACAGCTCGGAGCCTGGAGGCTGCTTCAAGTTCTGGGTCTTCCTCTCTGTCTCTCTACCCCTCACCCACTTGTGCTCTGTCTCTGTCTCAAAAATAAATAAATGTAAAAAATAAATAAGTAAGTAAATAAATAAAATAAAACAAAATAAAATAAAATAAAATAATGACCAGGGATGGCTGGTGCCCTTTGAGAGCTGAAGCCATCCAGGAGAGCTAGAAAAGGGCTCCTGGAAAGGCTGGGAGGGCAGGACGGAACCCCCAAAGCATTTCACATAAGATCTGTCAGGATCTCCCGTGAGCCTTTCTCCTGTTTGGAGAAAGTAGACCCTCAGTGAAACTCTTCCATTTTTCTCCCCTTCCATTCTTTTCTTGGCGATCCAAACTTGACCGTACCCTCCTGTTTCTTCGATGCTTGAGTCTGGGTGTGCGTCTCTGTCTTCCACCCGCCCTGCCCGATGACCTCCCTCTTTGCGTGGCATTTCCAGGTGTCGGTAGAGAGAGCCTGTGCCCTCATTTCTGTGAATCGGGGATGAGCATAAAGCCATTACCTCTTATCGCTCCCATCATCTCCCCCATACCCCCTCTCCAAAATCTGCTGAGCCCCCGATACCTCTCCCTTCAGTCTCCTTACTCATTATGGTCTGGGTTGACACGTTGAAGCAGAACGCAGCCGCCAGGAATTTATATTTTCTGGAGTCTATTCCTTTTAGTCTTAAATGAATTCCGTCGTGTCTTAGTGACCCTTTTGATTCTGAGGATGAGACTTTGAACTCCCCGCCCCTTTTAATCCTTACTCGAATAAACGGGATGTTGTTTGATCATCAAACAAACAACTCCCCCACACCAGGGAGTGTTTTGGTGACTCCGAAACTAAGGGCTTATCCATCGCTTATGCTGGGGACAGAAAGGTGCTTCCCTGGTTTCTTTTCTGGTTTGCACCCGGTGGGGCAGAGGGCCTCTGCCTGAACCCGTGAGCAGCGGTGGGGGGAACGGCAGGGAGAAGCTGAGTCGGTTGGAAGAGACCACCTGCCGGCTGGCCAGCCTCTGCTTCCCAGCTGCCTGTAAAGCCGAGGGGTCTGGAATGCGCACCCCACACCTTGCAGACGTGGGGGCAGAGTTTCTTGAAGCGCCGTTTAAAACCCCGGGGCGGTGTCTGCGGGGTTCTCGGGTAAAAACTGAAATCTCTGCTTTGAACCCTGGGTGAGGGTTTTTACTCTCTCAGGTATAAGGCCCAACCCCCCCCCCGTTCTGGGAAATCCGAAGGGAAAGCAGTGGAAATGGAAGTGTTTCTGAGATGTCAGACCCGGATCTCTCGTTTGGGTGCTTATTTTTTATTTTTTATTTTTTTTTTATTATTAAA